ATGTATTGATTAAAGAGATTTAATTTTGATATGTTATTTACTTTGATTATTTTTTGTATCAACTACAGTACATAAATTTGGTATTGATTTTGTAGAGAGAAATTAAAAAAAAAAATCAATTTTTTTTTGAAAGAATTCATTTTTCGTCGAAAATATTTATAACAATTTTCGACGAAATTCCATTGATTTTCCGTCGAAAATTTTCAACGGAATTCATTTTCTGTCGAAAACCATTACAATCGTTTTCGACGGAATTCCATTGATTTTTCGTCGAATTTTTTTTACGGATTTCGTTTTTCGTCGACATCCATTACAACAATTTTTGACGAAATTTCATTGTTTTTCCGTTGAAATTTTTTTACGGAATTTGATTTTCGTAAAAAAAGTTTACATCAGTTTTCGACGAAAATTCATTGATTTTTCGTCCAAAATTTTCAACGGAATTTCATTATTTTTCCGTCAAAAATTTTCAACGAAATTCGTTTTCCGTCGAAAACTATCACAACAATTTTGACGGAATTTCATTATTTTTCCGTCGAAAATTCGGTTGAAATTTTCGACGCAATTTCTAATTCCGTCGAAAAAATGGACTTTTTTAGTAGTGATATATATATATATATATATATATATATATATATATATATATATATATATATATATTAGTTGACACTAGTATCTAGTGGCTAAGCCAGCAAAACTGCTCAACCCAGGCAAAAAAAATTTAGCTGGTGACAAACACTAAATTTTATCCTTTAACTTAGCTTTGTTTATTTACCTACGTCTAAAATGTGGCTAATTTTTAAAAATTAGCTGGGGTCTTAGCCGCCATTGCAATTTGACATCAAATCTTAATCGTTGATTTTCTCCAATTTAATAATTATAATTTATTAAATCACATTTATTAATTAACTATTAATTTCCAATAGAATTTCGAACTTGGTAATTAAACAAAAAAAAAAAGGAGGATTGACTAGTTATTAGGAAAGTTAATATGTTTGGCAAGCGAATTTATTTGCTAGTCAGATATATGCATCAATTTTGTAATTCAAAGACATTATAAAATTATTGATGCTTACTATGATTGTCCATCTGACACTTATTGAATGTTTGTCTTTGTATAGTTCGGACTCTCTTAATTAATATCAGCTTATTATGTTTTCCACTTTATGAAGCATTTAATATATATCTTGATTTATGGACGAGATATGCATGCAAAAATTTAATACACTGAAATTTTATAATGTTCAGTGGTGAAATTACGTCTATCTCTCTGGTTAAGATAAAATATCTGAATATAACATTGTTTTTAGTAGGGCTCTGCATGAGTCAGGTTGGGTCAGGTTTTTGTGCTGACTCTACCTAACTTGGTTTTTGTAGGTCAGGTATTTTGACCCGACTCGCTTTAATTTGATCCAAGTCAGGTCTGACTTGGTTTGGATTTTTTTGAACTAGTTCAGAACTGGGTCGGATCTGACCTGACTTGGTTTCTGAAGTGGATCTGACTTGGTTTCTGAAGTGAGTCAAATCTGACTTGAGTCGGTTTTCACTTGGTTTCGTCACAAAATTTCGTCGAAATTTCTACGTTGCAAACGACAAAAATTTCGTCACAAAATTATTTTTTGGCAGAATACTTTGTCGAAAAGCGACGAAATTTTTTCTCTAATGAAAATTTTTATAAAAATAAATTTTCTATCAAAATTTAGTTTTCGTCAAAAGTTTTGACGAAAATGATTTTCTCCATCAAATGTTTAAACCAAAAAAGAATTCAGTCAAAAATTTTGACGGAATGTTTTCCGTTCAAAATTTCGATGGAATGTGTTCTGACGAAAATTTCGACTGAAATTGTTTTGAGGAAAATGTTTCATTCGAAACTTTTGACGAAATTTAGATTCTCTAAAGAATTTTTGAAAGAATATTTTTTCGTCAAAATTTTTTATTGAAATATTGTCAAAAAATTTTACGAACATTTTTGACAGAAATGTGTTCCGTTGAAAATTTTGATGGAAATATTTTTTATCAAAAAACTTGACGAAAATATTTAGTTGAAAATTTTCGATGGAAATGTGTTTTGCTAAAAATTTCGACGAAATTTTTTTTTTGTCAAAAAATTAACGAAAATGTTTCCGTCGAAAACTTTAACCGAAATTTGAATTTTGAAGAAATTTTTTTCTGTCAAAAAATTTCTATGTTTTTTTGTGAAATATTTTGACGAAATTTAGATTTCGTAAAAAAATTTGATAAACAATTTTTTCTTTGAAATTTTTTTACATAAATGTTTTTTGTCACAAATTTTGATGAAAATATTTTTCGTCAAAATTTTTTGCGAAAATTTTGAATGGAAATATTTTTTGTAAAAAATTTTGACGTAATTGTTTTACGTTAAAACTTTTCTTTTAATGTAATTGTGATTTTCTTTTTTTTCACATAAGGGGTATGAGTCAAGTTTTGGGTCAATGAGTCATTATTAAAACAAGTCAGGTCTAAAACTGACCCAAATAAAAGTGGGTCAGTATTTAAACCAGTTCAAAAAAAATAGGTATTTATGGGTCAGATCAAGGGTAGGACAAGTGAATCAGTTTTTTTGCACACCCCTAAATTTTTAAGAGGCGGTGGTATGAATCAAAACTTGAGTGAGTCACCTTGAATATCTCAGGCAGAAACTAGGAGGGAGATGGTATAAGGGCACAATAACTCTAGAATTTGGCAGAATATATAATAGTTCATAAATTATAGAATTAAGATGCCTCTTTATTAATTGAAGAGGAATATTTGTGGGTGGAAAATATTCACTGATCATGATAAGAAGAACCATAACTATTTTAATTTCTACTATTGTGCTTGAGTCAATCGTTCCTCTCAGAATATTGAGTGAAATAAAATTGATACCAGGGTGTGAGAGTTCCTCTACAATAAATGTCTAAAGCTCTCAGGATGATACCTTGAATATGAGCCTTAGTAGTTAGCCAATGTGATAGGGCCAATATGATTGGTTCGGAACAAATGTATCGTTAGATTAATTATATCATTAATTATTATAAATAATTATTAATTAAATATGATGATTTTTATTAATTAATTATTAAATTGACTTTTATTAACGAATGAACCCAACTTCAATTCAAGTGCTTATGTAATTATTTATGGGATTTATTTTTCTCATGTTGCATGAGAAAACAAACCCTTCCTACACACTATAAAAAGGTGTGCCACTCATTTTTTATTTTTTTTAAATAAACGGATCACACACTTGATGTATCTATGATATGAAATTAGAATTCTCCCACGATATAAAATTTATTTTTCCCATATAAAAGTTGAGTATTACAACAAACTTCAATATTTTCTTCTCAAAGATATACCCAAGATGTTTTATCATGAGTTTGGAAGTTAGTGCATTAACATATGTCAATTGTCAAGAAACATCATTACTCAAGCATACATTCACCTATGGAATCAAGCACATTTCACGTGGGTTTGAGGGTGTACACTGAGCCATTATGTCAGAAAAGAAAACCTTTGAAGTGTCATCTTTCCTTTACATATCTTGAAATTAAGTATCATTCTTCAAGGTTCTACCACCTGCAGAATCTTGAAGAAGTGTATGTTCGTAAAAATATGAAGAAATATCCTAATGGTATTATAAGGAATGAAAAGACCAGGGAATTGCGATGCTAAATTAACCTTGTAACCAAGTACTAGTAACATTCGAAGAAGAAAGCACGTTGGATTCAAAAAGCTATAGCTTACAAACTTTGAATTTAGATGCAAATTTGATTAGATAACTAGCTAGTTCATGAAGTTATCTTTTGGCTGCTTCCTCCTTTTGCTTTTGTTTGATATATAAATATTTTCACATTAATTGTTTATGATACTATTTGTCGCATTATTATTGTTAGTCTAGGGGGGGGAATGTCAACACGCGGTGCTAAAAAAGATAAAATAGAATTTATGAATAAGAGTGAATTGTATAAGGAAAATAGAATTTATCCATGAAGTTAATGTGGAATAAGTACTTATGGAAGAGCACAAACTTTTACAGTAAAGATAAAATAATTACCTCACCAAAAAAAAAAAAAAAAAAGATAAAATAATTAATCTGATCATGTGTAAAGCCTTAGCCACTCTTGTCTTCGCCTTAACTCCAACTTTAATAATTAATTAGGAAATGCTTTTCATCGAGAAACTTTAAGAATCTATACAAGCATGCAAGATTTTCAATAAAGAGACAGTTTTTCTTGTAGTAATTAGCAGCTAATCATATAACTTTTTAAAAGTAGCAATCTTTATAATAACTTTTTTAATTTGCTTAATTACAAGAGTTTTACATTACAGCTGAAAGTGGCTAGCTTTGATGAATTACAAATTTACAATAGTTGAAAAAGTGATCTATATCAAATTATATATTTACTCGATCTTGCAAATACAGCTTCATGCATCCAAAGTGAAAATCTCAGTCTCTTCAACTTTTTCAAAGTAGGAATGAGAGGGTCGATTATAAGCACTTTATCTTTACATTTTTATAAAGAAACCGTTGTTCAGAGTTTAAAAAAAAAAAATTATATCAAGTTTCACCAACTCTCGTTTGAAGAGTTTCTTCATCTACATAAGTCCAATGTGCATGGGACCTGTTAACATATAGGGTCCTACCACCTGCATGTGTGACACATGTATACAACCCGTTAGCCCACTGAGCAATGAAAGAATCCTTTATATATAAGGCTAGAACTCTTGCAAGGTGACACTGCAATTTTTAGCTCTTTTCCACAAACCTTCACTGGGCCTCCATGGTACATCTTCCACATTAAATTCACTACCTCAGTGTACTCACAGTTCTGGATATCATCCAATTCTCTGTTCAGTCTGCTGACAGTACTCTTTTTGTAATGTAATGTAATGTAACCTCTTGTAAGCTTGGACTAAAACTAACATTGTTGTCCATTGGATGTGTTAGTATTAGTACTTGAGAATTGTAAGGGAGATAGGAATAGAAGAAAGAAGACATGGGACACCACTCTTGTTGCAATAAACAGAAGGTCAAAAGAGGGCTATGGTCACCTGAAGAAGATGAAAAACTCATTAACTACATCACAACTTATGGACATGGTTGCTGGAGTTCTGTCCCAAAACTTGCAGGTAATTAAGAACAAACTCTACCATTAATTAATCTTTCTTCTCAGTTCACATTATTTTCAATATTGTGAAATTCTCAAAATTTAAAACTTTTGAAATTATTATATATATGTTCATTTCATGATGTGCAGGTTTGAAGAGATGTGGAAAGAGTTGCAGATTAAGATGGATAAATTATCTAAGACCTGATTTGAAACGTGGAAGTTTCTCTCCTCAAGAAGCAGCCCTCATTATCGAACTCCACAGCATTCTAGGCAATAGGTAGCCATTTCTTTTTTCCCCTTTGTTTTTTTTCATGTGCATCATCAACATTATTATTGCAAAGTTGCTTTATTCAATTACTTTTCTCAACAAGAGTAAATTATTTGGATAGGTGGGCTCAGATAGCCAAGCACCTACCTGGAAGAACAGATAATGAGGTGAAAAACTTTTGGAATTCAAGCATAAAGAAGAAACTCCTTTCTCATGATCATGTTGTTCCTTCTTTTGCCACATTTTCTGATATTCACAGCCCCATCAATATTGGTTCTTTGGAAAGTTTATTTCCTTTAACTGCAAACCCTAATGTGATCCTAAACTTTCATCATCACCAAAACCAGCTATACCTTCCAACCCCATCTCCAATCCTACAAGGTTTTGATCATAATGATATTAAGGTAGACATTGACAATTATAATGCCAATTTCTTTCATAATCAGAATCCAATTCCAGAAACAGTACTACCATCCAATCCATCCTCTTATGAAGAAGATACATGGTCATTGGGTTGTGTAGCTCTTCATGATCTTAAACCAAATCAGGAAAATCAAATTAGTGAAATTACCAAAAGTGATACCACCCCACATTATGTTGTTGACAAATTCATCAACCCAACTGCATTGCAGCAATATGAATGTCACTTGGTGGAACCTATTGTGCCAAAAGTCACCGAAAGCATTGAGGATTATGTTTGTAGCATCCCAACTACATCTGCTTCCAAGGAACATGTGGGTCCAGAAAAAATTCAGTGTTACTCACACAGTAATTATCCGCTTCATCAAACTGTGACAGTCAATCAATTGGAGTACATTGATGCACTCATGTCATCATTGCCATACTCAACAACCTCATCATCAGTGTCAAGCAGTAAAATAGTCACAAACCCTATTATTCCTTCGGGATGGGAGCCATGAGCATTGGTTGGTACTACATGTAGATATGAATTTAGTTTTATCTATTTATAGTATATATAACTTATAATAATGGAGGGGATCTCTATAATGATATCAAGGAGCCCAATGATTTCCATGCATTCAATTAAATCTAGAACTTTTGCACAAGAGGGTGTAGTTCTCCTATTTGTTAACCTGAACCATGCTAGTTCAGGGACTTCCATTAAGTGATTCTTGCTGAAGTTCCATAAATATGTGTAGGCTATTTTACATGTTTGTTAGCCTAAGGGCATGTTTGGTGTATAATATAAGATAAGGCCTGATAGTATAAGACTTGATTGAATTTTAATACTATCCAACGTTTGGCACGGTATTGTATAAAACAATATATTGTATAAAATAATATCATCTAGTATTTGATAATGCACTGTATAATACTATATATGATAAAAATAAATATTTTTACTAAAAACATCATTTAATAAAGAATTTATATAATTCTTCAAAAAATGTCATATGATATTAATTTTTATAAAAATTTATTGATCAGTGTGTCCAAAATATAAATTAATTTTTATAAAAATAAAAATATTCAATATTTTAAAAATTAATATATTAAAAAATTAAATTTTATTTTAATAGATTAATATTAAAATAATATATTAATTTTTGATAATTACATTGGTCAACGATGTTAATACATCAATATCTTATCAGGCCTTGTCCCTCACCCTTAGGCCGAATTAAGTTATACATCATTTTCTCACCCAAAAAAAAAGGTTATACATCATTTTGATGTATTAAGGGATTATACTGTATAAGCTTATACTATACGATGGTCATACCAAATAACTGAAAATGTCATCATATATAAAATAAATTTATACTATCATGCTTATACGTGACACCTGAACAGGCCGTAAAATATGTGTGAATTATGTATGGAGAGAGCTACTTATATTTGTTAACCAGTCATGTACCTAGTTGTGTACTTTAGATTAACTCATTGTTCTCTCTCTCTCTCTGACATTTATCGATGGCGTTATTACACAAAGACAAAAGACGTACACATCATGGTCAACTCGAGGCCAAAGTGTCGTTAAATGTTGTCGCGGGAGGCCAACATGCATATATACTTTATAATGTGATAAGAACAGCTTAAAGCATATATATGAACCAATGTGGAATATCTTGTAATTGATGATAAAGCTTTATTAATTAAGATTCCTCCAGGTTGATTGGTAAAACTCTTAACTTATTAAGAGTTATACATTGCACTATAGTGAAATTATTTTGGCTTCTTCCTCCATTTTTTTTTTTTCATTTTCCTGTGAAAAAAAGACCCAAAAATATCACTGTTAAAGTAATTTTGCATCGTACGGCATTTTGTAAGGGACCATTCTAGCAGTTACGGAGCCACGTGTATTTTGAGTGTTGATTTGGCTCGCGCTAAATTTTAATAAATTGTATTTATTATATATAATTATATAATTAATTATAATTTGGTTCGGATTAAAATTATAATTTGATCCGGGTTATAATTTGTAATTTTTCCTTATATAAAATTTAAAATATTTTTGATGAACGATTTGGGTAAGTTGTATTAAGTTATGTGTTTAATTTTCATTTGTATATATAAAAAACTATTTTTAGTAAAATTAAAAAATATGTAATAAAATTATAATTCTTTCGTAGTGCTGCTTACTCAGATGTTCTGTATTTAATATAATTTAAATATATTATAATATGAACTAATTAAAATTAAAAAAAATAAATACACATATAACTTTTTTGGCTCAAGCTCAAATTTGAGGCCGCCTCCGCCTCTAGCTTGACGTTTGCTTTCCCCTCAGGTAAAATTAGACTTTCGTTCTAAATTGGTTAAACTTTTGCAAAGATTGAAGAATAAAAGGTCACTTCAATCTTAAATGGAAAAGTGGAAGAAAATAGAGAAATAAAATTAGGATTCGACATAAAACCAAATTTATTTTGCAATATGCCAAGCGTAAACGTAGTTCTGTAATCTATTATAAGTGGTTTTTTTTTTTTTTTTTTGGAAGCTCATCAACCCGACCAATTTGTAAGAACACATAAAAAAAGGACCGACTCGAAAGATTATTTTAAAATCTGCATCATTCGATAACCTTCAAATAAGTCAAGAAAAATATAATTAAAATTTTCATATGAATATTATCATATTCCAGAAAATAATAATAATCTTATCATGTTGGATACCATCTAAATTTTTTTAGACGCGATTTAATTCAATTCAAATTAAATAGAAAGTGAATCTCTTATAAACTAATGAATGTTAATCTGAAAATTTTCTACTCCTATATAATAGGGAGAATATTCTATAGGAATAGAAGAATTTTAAAATTTGAAATTGAAATCGACTAATAATTAACCCCAATCTGGTATATTTTCTTTTCTTTTTTCCTTTTGGAAATTTGTATATTTTCTTTTCTAACGTTACAATAGCTATAAATTAAAAAAAAACTAATATACTCTGTATAAAGTAAAAATGAATATATTAAATTAATAATTAATAAATTATATAAGTATTATAATTTTTTTATACATTGAAATAATAAATAAGTAAGCCAACTAGTAAGTCAAATATGCATTTTTTTTAAAATATTAGTCTTAAACTAACTAATTAAATATATATATTTTTTTTTAAAAAAACGTAAACCTGATTTGTTTGCTAAATAAAGTAGGTCAAAATAGGTCTAAAATGAACTAAGCCATAAGGCACAGGTTTCACGGTAGGCATTTTGAACTATTTGCACCCCCAAATAAAATAAAGAGAGAAGATTAAAAGTTATTTCTATGAACCTGGGGGTGATTAGAAGTTACTAATATATATAAGAAGAATTTAATTTTTATTACTTGAGTTGAGAGCATGATTCATGAGCATTATTGACAAATTATGATTCTGTCGTTAACAGATGGATCTTCTGGAAAGAATCAATCTTAGAGCGACATAGCCCCTTTCAATCATAAACTGACTGTTTTTTCTTTGGGGGTAAAATCATAAGCTGATTTTATGCATACCCCTTTTCCTTTCTCTTATATCTGTTGATAATTATCTATATTTTTTTTTTCGTTAATGGGTTGATAATTATCGTTAAATCATTCATTTTTGCAGGAAAAAAGAATGTAGTGACAGCCCACAGCCATGACAGCGTTTGCTCAATAATTTTAAGGGCCCAGAAGCACGGAAGTGGGCTCCCAGTCTCATCATGATTGGAGGGTTGGCCTTTTGAAGGGGGCCCATACAAAGAAGCTGGTGGGCCTCATTTTGCATACCAATCAGCTTCCGTACCCTTTATTTCGTTTTCCAGTCGTATAAAGTTTATCATTCTTATGGGCCACATTCAGAATCCTTTTATTTTCTCGAGGCTTTTCGTCACATGGAATTGAAAAAGAAGGAAACAGCTGATTGCACTGGAAAAGAGACACATTTTTAGATTGGGTATTAGTTATTCAAAAAATAATGCGTTGACAAATTTTGTGATATCCATCAATAAAATGACACATAGTCTTTGTAGTGTGCATTGTTTTGCATGCAATAGAGCTAAAATAATGAAAATGCAAAGATAAGGGTTATTAATATTTTTATCCATGAGATGGAACAAAGATTTATAACCTGATTTAATAGATAACAAAAATTTAGATATTTATGTTATCCTTTAAATTACTTCTTGTCTAGCATCAATACTATTTGAACAATCAAACGAAGTATACTTTTTTTTTTCTGCACATCCATTGTTTTGTAACAAATCAAACTCACCCTTAGTCTGAGCTTAATTTATAAAATCCTTACGTATGAATTGGCATAGGAGTTAGGACTCATAACAAAGAGAATGAAACAAGGATCATTACACCCACCAAACTAGATCATTCTGCTGTAGTGGACATGCAAAGTTACAAATTATTGCAACTGACGAGAATCTCAAATAGACAACAAACAGAATCTTAACATATCCATACACAATAGTTGCCTGAAAAATTGCTCAAAGCAAACTGTACTCAGAACCCCACCACCTGTTCCATAGAGGAGCTCTTAAGGTAACAAAGTTCATCCTGTTTCACTGGGTCTTATCATGAATTGCACTAAGTTTCTACATTGAATCTTTAGCTCCAAAGTCAATGATACTAAGCTGTAATCCTTGACCAACCCTTGGCTATTCTTCGAGCAATTACTTTTCTGCCACCCTTGGTTGCCTTCCTGCTCATGTAAAAGAAAAATTATACCATCTACAAGACACAGTTCTGTTTTTGAGATTACTGTTGTGGATGTGCATATCAGCCATATGTAAAATTCAGCAGTTCTGTCCCACTAGTCATAAGTGAGAATGCAAGACCTTTTCATACTGGCCAGGAAGCAGGCCCATGACCATTCACTCAATGATAAGGGCCAGTGACAATTTTAAACAGAAAACATATCCCGGTAAGAAAGAGAAGCAAGTAGTCCTTCGGCCTAAAAGCATGCACTAAGTATGCCACTTTGCCTGGCCAGTCTAAAATGTTGGAATATTAATTCCTCCAAAATTTATGGTGATAACCATCACCTACAAATTAAAAGATTTATCAAATCAAATCATAAAGGAATATTAACAAAAAAGTAGAGACATATCTGTTTCCATAGTAGCGAAATAATTTTGATCTTCTCGAGATATGTGATCTTTCAGTCAAATAACTTTAACCTTATTATCTAGTATGATCTTCTCCTTTGGGGCATTCGATATTCCTCAATCAAATAGCCCTAATCTTTATTCTTTAGTGTGTTGTCTATCTCTTGATAAGAAAGAGAAACTAGTGTTGTTATTTGACATACTGGGGACCATATTCCTTTATAATGTTTTTCTTTTTTGTTGGCTCAACACTGGTATTTACTCATTTATTCCACACTTACTTAGGAATTTATTTGGCATCTTTATTTGATTACTTTAATTTACCCAATATATATTAAATAGCACAATATAATTATTAATACAATATAATTTCCTAACAAT